GCTACTCCTGCCCCTTTCTTTAACTTCAGCTGAAGCATAATATATTCTACTCCAGCCTTGTACTTTTAGTGTGTGTGCCTGTGCTTCACATGTGTTTCTTGTCAACAACATATTGTAGGATTCTGGTTTTTAATTCACTCTTCTATTTGCTTCTGTCTTATGTTGGAACATCCTGTTTTTGCCCTTTTATACTTTTCTCCTTTCACCCTGTCCCTCCTCACCAGAGTTATGCTTCTGACCACCACCTCTCTCAATCTGCCCTCCCTTCTATCAGGCCCCTCTTTTCTTTCCCTTTTCTCCTCCTACTTCCCTATAGGATAAGATAAATTTCTGTAATCAACTGAGTGTATATGTTATTCCTTCTGAGCCAAATTGGATGAATGTAAGATTCAAAGAATACTCACGCCTTCCCTTCTTTTCCTCTACTGTAATAGGTCTTTTGCACCTCTTCCTATGATGTAATTTACCTATTCTGCTTCTCCGTTTCTTCTTCTCCCAGTACAATCCTTTTTTTTTCCACCCATTAATTTTTTTTATATGATCACATCAAAGTCAATTTATACCCATACCCTCTATGTATATACTCCTTCTAACTGCCTTAATAGAAATACAGTTCTCAAGAGTTACAAGTATCATCTTCCTGTGTAGGGAAGACAGTTTATATTTTATTGAATAACACTTTTTTTCTTTCCTTTTTACCTTTTTATGCTTCCCTTGAGACTTGTAAATGAAGATTGAATTTTCTTTTCATCTCTGGTCTTTTCATCAAGAAAATTTGAAAGTCTCCTATTTCATTGAATGTCCATCTTTTTCCCTGAAAGATTGTGTTCAGTTGTTCTGGATAGTTGATTCTTCGTTGTAATCCAAGCTCCTTTGCCTTCCAGGACATCATATTCCAAACTCTCCGATCCTTTAATGTAGAAGCTGCTAAATCCTGTGTAATCTTGACTGTGGCGTCTTGATACTTGAATTGTTTCTGGCTGCATGCAGTATTTTCTCCTTGACCTTAGATAATTCTGGAATTTGGCTATACTATTCCTTGGGGTTTTTGTTTTGGGATCTCTTTCAGTAGGTGATCAGTGGATTTATTTTACCCTCTGGTCCTAGAATAATGGTAGAAGATGAATGAAGGATGCCATCAAAGAAATATGTGATTGAAAAATAAAGGCCTGAGTTGTGTGACCCTGGGCAAATCACTTAACCCCAATTGCTTCGCCACCACCTTCCCCCTTTACTCCCCTGCTTCCCAAAAAGGCAGCTAGGTGGCACAATGGGTAGAGCACCAGTCTTGGAGGTGGAGGACCTCAGTTCAAATGTGGTCTCAGACACTTGACACTTACTAGCTGTGTGACCCTGGGCAAGTCACTTAACCCCAATTGCCTGGTGCTCCCCCCCCCAAAAAAAAAAGAAAAGGAAAAGAGCCTGGTCATGTGGTAAAAGCAAGGACTAATTAATCTTGCCTTCTCATTCTCCAGTGGTGTCCTCAGGATGTCAGTGTCAAAGACTTCCCTGTTGTGCCCTTCTTTGAAGACACTGATAAAGATTGCAGAGAATTGTTAGGCATGCATAGACGTGGTGTGATCTGGGTTACTGGAGGATTGCTCCTATTGATTTGAGTACTGATAAGTGTTACCAGGATGTGGAAGGGCATGGATGGTATGCCATATGAGAATTAGATGAAGCAGCTAGGAATGTTTAGCCTAAGTCCTGGTGATTCTCTTCAGGCATCGGAAGGAGGCATCAGAACTGCTCTTCTTGGCCAGAGGATGATGAGTAGAAGTTTAAGTGAGGCAGATTAGACTGGTCTTCATGCGTCGTTCCTAAAACATTTACCACCTGTTGGAAAGTGCGGTTGATGAGGCAAATATGTTTCTTTTCAAGTGGATTTGTGTGATCTCATTAATTTGGATGCTCTGTCCTTCAGCACAAATAACCGCACCTCCACCTGCCCAGTCATGCATTGTTCTGGAACTTTCTTCCCCCTCCATCCGGCTCTACAAAGAAGTGAAAGAAGTTGTCTCAGCATCTCTGTTCTTTGGGACCAAGGGTGGTCATTAGAATTTCACAGTGTTTGGTTTGAGCTACTTCATTTTTGTTGTTCCTTCTGTTTTATACTGTTGTCGTTCGGAAATTTTCCTTGTTCGGCCTCACTTTGTGTCACTTCATGTAGGTCTTTATATTCTTTTCGTCATAGTCATAACTTCTTATGCAACTATAATCCATTACATTGATTTTACTATTTCTTGTTTAGCTATTTCCAATGAGTGATTTGTTTCCAGGTCTTTGCTACCACAGAGTGCTGTTCAAAGTATTTTGGGGTGTAACAGGTCTTTCTTTGTTGTCATTGACTTTTTCTGGGCTGTGTGCTTCTCAGTGGAGTCTCTGGGTCAGAGGGCATGTACGGCTGAATGAGTTTTTTTGCATAGTTCTGAATTGCTGGAGCAGCTCTCAGGAACACCAACAATCAGTGGGCTTGTTCACAACACCCCCAGCACTGACTGTTCTCATCATTTGTTCTCTTTGCCAGTTCGCTTAGTGTATGGTGTAGAGCCCCAGAGTTATGTTAATTTGTGAATCTCTTATTATTAATGACTATTATTCTTTCACATGGCTGCTAATAGTGTGCACTTATTTTCAGAAGTATTTATATGTATCCTTTGATATGATCTATTGAAATGGCTTTTGATCCTTTTATTTCTGTATTGACAGCTATCAGAGATACTTGACACAAATATCCCTCCATCATCTGCTTTCTTTGTTGTCCTAGTTGCATTTTGCTGATGCAAAAGTTTTCAGTTTCCTATAATTGAAATTCCATAATTGCCTGTATCCTTTGGTTAAGAATTCACCCACTAGGCAGGTGGTTTGGAAGAATCGTGTTGGGAATCGTAAAACTCAGAGGGAGCCAAGCCTGGCCAAAGAAAATGAAGAGCAGTAAAAATAGCTGTATTAGGGGAAAAGGAGGGAGTAAAGATGGAATTGGACCATTGCTTGGGAGTGAACAGGATGATGAGAGATGACTGGGACAAGCCAGAACTTCTCAATTTATATTTTGTTTCTGTTTTCCCTTCCAACTGGTCTTTGGACCAGAAAGGATGGACCAAAAATGGTTAATAGGAAGTTGATAGACAAGCCACAATGTTATAATTATTCCAACTAAAAAAAAAATTCAGAGCTGTGAAGGCACCTTATCTGATTGTTTTCTCATTTTTTTATGGTATAATATTTAATATGCAGGCCTCTGATAATCCTTTTCAACTCTTTGAAATCTAGGTGATAGGGCTGAGCATGAAGAAGAGATCTAAGTCTGTAACAATTTGTAAGCATCTGGGAAAATGTTAATAACTATTCACATATACATATACACACACACACACACACACACACACACACACACACACACAAATTTATAAGATACTTTCCTAACAATAATCTGGAATACTGGGTTTAGATAGGAAAATGGAGACTCAGAGAAATTACTTATCTGTGACCACATAGCAATAAATGGAAAGAGCAGTAGGAGTGTCACTTGAGGCAACTTGATTGGAGGGAGAGAGATGCTCCAGTGGGTTTTGTCTTGCCATCAGGGCAGCCAACTGGAAATAAATGTCAGGTATTAAAAATACCAAGGCAAAGCTTGACTGAGAGGTTAGCACTTGAGTCATTTGCATAAAGTATGATGGCTAGGTGAGTAGAGGAACCCTAGAGTGTTAGTGATTGGGATTCAGAGAAAAGGTAGTTAGGATTTCATGTATCCATTAACTTGTTCAGAGGGGAGGGTATTAGAACATACTTTCTATCCACCAGCCAAGGCCTGGAAACAAATAATCTTGGATGTAAAAATTCCTGTGTAGACAAGTAAGAGTCTCATTAAGAAACTAATAATAATAACAAAGATAATAAGCCATGATTATTATTTGTTTCTTTATGGCAGAGTCCTTTGCATATATTATCTCATTTCAGCTTTAACAACAACCCTGTGAGGTCAAGGCTATTGTTGTCCCCCTCATACAGATTTGGAAATGAAGGCCCAGGGAGATTGTGATTGGTCCTCACAGTCGACCAGTGTGAGTGTCTTAAGCAGAATTTGAACTCAAGTCTTCCCAAGACCAGTGCTCTGTTTGCTATACCACACTGCCCGGGGAAGTAAAAATAAATAAGGCAGTCTGTGCTCTCAGTGAGCCTACAGTCTGGTTAGTTACCAAGTACCATCAAATTACCAGCCACCACTGAATCACCAAGAAGAAAAGGGTGACTTGGAAAGTGCTTTGTTCAGTTCTTTTCAGTCATGTCCAGCTTTCTGTGACTTCATTCGAAGTTTCTTGGCAGAGATAATGAAGGGTTTGCCATTTCCTTCTCTAGCTTCTTTTACAGGTGACGAAACTGAGGCAAACAGGGTTAAGTGACTTGCCCAGGGTCACACAGCTAGAAAGTGTTTGAGGTGGGATTTGAACTCAGGAAGATGAGTCTTCCTGGCTCTGGCCCGGCTGCTCAGAGACTTTGTTAATGTGGGGAGTTTGGCTCCTAGGCCATCAGCTTGCCGCAGTGCCAAGAAAGAAAGGGAACAGTCCCTGCCCAGCATAGCTAAGTGCTAAAGAAATACTGAGTACACGTGCTAGGTCTTACTAAAAGGGATGCCACGAGGTTATGGTATAACAGCAACACTGATGATAAGCTAACATTTATAGATTGCGTTAAGGTTTGCTAAGTGCTGTATACATGTTAACTCATGTTATGCTTAAAACATAAGATGGGGCGTAGGTGCTGTGATTATCCCCATTTTATGGATAAGGAAACTGATGATAATAAGTGTCTGGGCCTGGACTTGAATTAAGCTGTTCCTGACTCCAAGAGTGGAAGCATTTAGATGAAAAGGCCACTTGGGGAGAAGGGAAGAGCAGGAGCGTACAACGGAAGAGGGACATCAGCTTCTGGGATCAGTGAGTAGAAGAGTTTGGTGTCGTTGAGAAGTTAAGGTTTATTTTGTTGTTTCCTTTCAGGATCTGAAAAGGCTTTAGATTCCACCATGGGGGATAACACTTTTAACGAACAAGATCCCATGCAGAAGAGTCCTTTGTCAGAACCTGTAGATGTGAAACCTTCTGATATGACTTTACCATTAACTCTTCCCCTTGGAACTGAGGACCACCAGATGCTGTTGCCTGTAACAGATAATCAGTCTCCATCATCGGACACACTGTTGAGATCAACTGTAAATGGGTATTCAGAACCACAATTTATTTTTCTGCAGCAATTATATTGACTTGATGAGCAATATGGAATTTACTAAATAAATAGCTCTGGTAGTGAACATAGACCTCATTGGCAAGGTGACCATTCTCATTCACTGTCATTTGGGTTGTAATCATTATTTTTCATTCAGCTAAGTAAAAGCAACTGATCCTGCATCTTGTGCAATGCTTGGTTTTTTTGTTTTTGTTTTTGTTCTGCTTGAAAAGTCAGAAGTATATGCACACCATTTTTGGAGAATGAGTTACATAGCAAAAAAAAAAATAGAAGGAAAAAAACCATTTTCATCAGTAGTCCTGAAGACTACATTTTTGTTTTTTAGAAATACCCTTTAATTATTCTGATAGAATTTATCACTTCTTGAAATAAAACAATATCCTCCAGGTTTTGGGGTTTTTTTCTATTATTTAAAAAAATAAAATGATCAGCTCTAGATTTCATCTAGAATTAGGAGTTCATGTTTCTTGGCCAGAAAAAATCTAGGTACCAAATTATAATTTATTTTTCTTCTCTATTGATATTCATGCTAGTTTGGGACAAGCGGTCCTTTAATAAAAAACAGAAGGGAAAAGTCTATCAAGGACTATAAAACTCTTGTTTTGGTTTGGTTTTTTTTGACCATCAGAGCACTTCTTTTTCAGTATTCCATTTGAAAGTAACCTATCAATAGATGTTTAATACCTTTCTTGTATCAAAAAGCAGTTTCACAATTTGACACGCTTTGACATGATAAGATAAGGAAAAATTATCAAATGCATTTTTGGTAAGAAAGTATGCAGGGTGAAAGAAAGCTTAATTTTGTCTATTTTATACAACTATTACATGCACACCTTAGAAATTAAAATTAAATGCTATCAGTGAAAAAAGTAAAAAAAAAACCAAACCCCAAAATTACAAGTTTCAAGCAGACTACAAGTAACTGCTGAAATCTGGTATCAGAGATTACAGCTATGATAGTAAGATGTCAGATTTCAGTATTTGGAGGAAAAATAGACTGTAAAAGCCCAGTTTTTCAAAACTACAAATGAACGTAAATCTTCACCAATAAAGCAGCTTTGCCTTTTCAGAATTATTTCTCACTCTTTTAAAACCATGGCAATAGGTTGCTTTGGTAGCTTTTTAAAAGTCCTCGTCAGCCTGAATAGGCAAAAGCAGATTATTTTCATATTTTCCACTAAATCGTTCTTATCCTGATTCTTTGTCACCAAAATTGGTTTTTGTGATTTTGTTGGTTTTTTTTTTTAAACTACTCTCTGGTACCATGTGGTTAGCAGGATTTGTTGATTAAACACGCTCTGACTCCTCATTTCTCTAAGCAAGTCACAATCTTTTCTTAAACTACTTCTGTAATTAATGCATTTTCTCTTTATCTTGAGTTTATAATTATGTCCTTACCTCCTTGGTGCCCAGGTCACAGTAAAGCCTTGTATTTACTATATAGTATGGTGGAGTAGAGTAGAGTAAATCTTGGCAACTGATGCAAGAGCACCGTCACTGACCTCACCAGATTCCTCAGTTCAGTGACCTGGTGGACTGAGTATTGAGGTCAAAATATTACCTCGGTGATTTTTTTTTTTGGCACAAGTACCTTTATGGAACACAAATTAAAGGCAACATTTGAGTACAAAAGAAATTAATTAGTAAACCTGAAACATACGTTTTTGTTGATCAGATGTATCGATTGCTCTACATTTCATCAGTATATTTCTGAACAAAATGTAAGGTGACTCGCCCATTCAGTTTTAACCTCATCAGGATTTCAATGCAGTATAAAGAAAATGTAACAATCAGATCCCATTCTTGTAAAATAACACCAAAGACAGCCTGAGATTTCTAATAAATCGTCATTAAATCAAGCACCACATTCTAGGCTGTCTTCTTAGAGTAGTAATCATCCCTCGTCGAGGGTCATGGCGTCAGGTGGCAGAGAGTTTTGTTCTGTGCTTCCCACCCCCACCCCCGGATCGCTGGTCATTTTTTCAGTTCAGTTGTGTTTGTGATCACATGTCATTTGCTTCATCGTTCAATGTTTTATTTTTATTAGTCATTCTCATTTTTAAAATGACTGCCTGAGCCCGTTCTTGCCTGCTTTTCCAAAACAGCAATATAAAGAGCATTTTATAAAATCCTGCGTCTTCCTGGGAATGTTTTTTCAGTAGCTGGATTCTTTTATGATACGCGTGTGTTTTTCTTGTAGCTGATGTCGTTTAGTGCTCGTGTAAGACACCAGCCTTAAACAGAAACTCTGGGTGGCACCCACGTTGAGATCGTTTTAAATTTCCTCTTTTATATCATTTTATGGTTTCTCTTGGCAACCAGCAATTGGAAAGTCCATTGTAAAAGACGTAGCTCTGAATTTGTGACATATGGCCTGCTTTTGATAGCTTGACCTCCTTAGGTCATTGATTGTTTTCAGTCTGTGTACTAATTTAGTATGCCGTTTCGTATTAGACCTTGCCTATCTAAAAAGAACACAACATTTTAACCCATGTGTCAGATCATTTAATTAAAGGTTCTGATAAGTTCATCTTTGTTAGACTAAATACATCTATGATGTGCTGTTGTGGGAAGAGATTACTTGTTCTTTTTAAATGAATCCATTATTTACATTGAATTGCTGAGCAAATTAATTCTGAAGAGCACACTGAGAGGTAGAATGTACTTTCTATGTGAATTTGTTTTGTACCTGTAATATTAGATTATTTCTACTGTATTCTTAGATTTCCAACTAAAAAAACTTAGATTTATACATATCAGTCGTTTTAGATGTTTGTAAATAGCATTTGTTTTGTGTTCTTTATTTACAGATTATTTTTAATACTGATTTTAGAAAATTATTTTAACCTTTCCAGAGTCTGATATAGTTCTATTGCAGCAATAATTAAATAGCGTACCCTACAAATTTCTTTCTATATGGTCTGTTTACAGAATTCATGAAAATGACTACACTTGATATATTTTAACTGTGTTATGCTAAATTAATATCATGTGTACTTTTAAATCATTGTTCTACACATTTCTTGGCTTTTAAGCTGTAAGAGATGTTTTCATGTAAACTTTCCACCTACTTCTATGAGATTTTTTATAAGTGTCTGGATACTGGCTGGAAATACTTTGTAACAGAAAAACCCTGTTTTTACACAATTTAAGTTAAAGCCTTTTAAAAATAATTTTCAAGTGTTACTAAAGTTTAGTCAGTGTAAGAGGTTCTTTTTCTTGCTTGAGTAATTCTTCATGCCTCCTTTTTTAATATTTTGGAGAGTTGTTAATTGAAAGTTTAGAATATACCAGAAAAATTATGGTATGAACAAACTACTCTTCTAAAAATAGGGCAATAGTGAAAATTTTTGTTAATTTAAAAAACAGATTTGCTAAAACGGACACTGTGTGACCAGTTTTTCTAATAATTATCTGCTTTTGAATATGATAAATGTAGAATTCATATAGCATTGCCTATAGTCATTCGTTTGAATATAATACTTGGTAAGCTTCTGGAATATGATGTATTTGTTAATTCCTGCCTGACAGCCTTTGAACTCAATGTAGGGTGCAACATTTGGTTTCCGATGGATCATCAGAATTGGAACATAAGAAAGTCATGAGAGTGATTTTCACGTGGTCTTCCATACTGCTACATGGCTGTTTTTTATTTATCCACACAGCTTAAAATGAAGTGATCAGCTTAAGGAAAGAAATGGACAGATGGGTGACTCTCTCTAATCCCTGAACCAGTCAGATCACTGAGAGAGCAAGTAATCCCACCTCTCTTTAGAACTTCAACTTCAAATACAGATTGCTTTAAAAATAAATAAAACCTGAAAGGTGAATATCCACTGAGTTTCAAGGGAAAAGTCCTTGGCGATTGGGCTGGGCCAGCGGGCAGGGTACACGCAGGGCTTTGAGAGAAGAACAAACTGGCCAAGTCAGCCTTGTCTTAAGAGCAGTGAGTATGTGGGAAGAATGGGGGGAGAGCGACCCTAGATAGAGAAGAAGCCAAGGTGATGGATTTGGTTCAGTTAATCCATCCTGTGGGGAAATGAGTCTACTTCCTTCCTTACCTCCCATATACATATAGCCTGTGACTTATTGTGCTCAAACAAAAGCTTCTTAAGATCAAAAAGTTGAAACTAAAGCCATAATCAGTCTCCTTTGTAAGTTATTTAGAAACAAAATTCAGCATGGAGAATGTTGTGTAGACACAATCCAGCATCTGATTCTTTGCTATAACTATATTTGGTTGTATAAATTAATGGGAATTATGTAGTTAAGTCCCCGTTGATCTAAAATGAAGGAGGGGAAACCTGTTGTAGAATTAGAGTAATAAGAAATAAGTCAGGGGATTGATGGATATCATAAATACTTTATTTCAAAAACAAAATACTACTCACTTTACATAAACTGTGGATCCCACCTCAATCACTCAGTAGCTTTGGAGCTAAGAACAAATCACTGAATTAGAGTCTCTGAGTTCTGTTTCCTCATCTGTGGGTGGAGATGGTACTAGATACATTGCAGGACTATTATGAGGAAAATCTAGAAGTCCGTATAGTGTAATGGAAAGAATTTTGGGTTGAGAGCCACTTAAGATCTGGGTGGTCTTGGAAAATTCACTTAACTGCTCTAGACCTCGGTTTCCTTGCCTGTAGATCAGGGGGTTGGACTAGATGACCTATTAGTTCCCTTCTGGCACAAAATCCATGATCTCTTTTGTGTGTCAAGGTACTCAGCAAACCTTAAAGCATGATAGTATGCTTTATGATAATATGAATTCTTGTTACGATTAGTACATAGTAATGCAGACATTTGTATGTATTATATATAATTGATATTTATATCAAACTTTAAAGTTTATAAAGCATTTTGTATATATTACCTTGTTTGGATCACAATAATCCTTGAAATGGGTACTATAGATATTATCTGCATTTTTTGCATATGAGGAAACTGAGGCTAAGTAGTTAAGTGATTTGCCCATGGTTAGTAAGTATTAAAGGAGGGATTGAACTCTTAAGTTCAGTTCTATGTACCATGCCATAAATAAGCAAATAACATTTGTGAAAAATGATAACTGACTTTTTCTGCAAAGGAACAATACAGTTTATGTTACTAATGTTTATTGATTGTTTAATTTTTATTGGTAAGCTACCTATGTATTGTTTAACTTCATACTAAAATTCATTTTACATTTTGGCACACGAAAATTTCTTAGTGTTTTATATGTATTTTTTGTATGTTGAATTAAGTAATGCAAATGAATTTCTTATCATCCACTATTATCACATGAATTATGGAATATGAGGTGGTGATACAATGGTTTGGTTGAGCAGGAGAGATGGGGAGGCAGTTGTGAGAAGTCAGCAGTCGGCTTGTTCTTAGAACATGCTCTTTGAAGTCCCATCCTCTGGGCTGTGTGGCAAGGCAGGCTCTCCTGTGCTGCCTTTCCCTATTAGAATGTAAGCTCCTTGGCGGCAGATGTACCCTCAACAGTTAGCATGGTGCCTAATTACCCTATGAGTTTTTACTCACTCGTACATTTTCAGTAATATGCTGAACCTCAGTATTTAGCAAACTGTTTAGTCAATGGTGTGCCAGGTGTCATTTGGAAAATAGTACTTTTAGTTTTGTTTTCTCAGGTGTTTGTGCATTCTCACGTGTATCAGTCATCTGAATAGGTTTTGTTAGTGTATCGATCGTCTGAATGGTTTTTCTTATTTATGTGTTGGGCTAAGTTGTAAGTCCGGAGATGAAACCATGCTCGTCTAATTAAGAAAGCACAGGAACTCGATTTTAATTATAAAATAGGTGCTCAGGATATGGGTAGGTCTTGAGCCTCTCACTTATGTTATATCACTAATATTAGGTTAGTAACAGGACTTGATGCCTGGATCTCGTTTTTATGCTGCTCACGAGTCCTATAATTTGAAGACAACAAAAATGCTATTCAACCAGTTGCAGTTTTTGCTAAACAAATATATCAAAGATTTTCTCCCATGTGAAAATATACTGTACATTATCCAAATCTGCTCTTTTCAAGACCCCTTTTATACAGTGAAGAACTACCTATATCGACTCACCAGATACTCAGAATTTGGATGCAGATAATAAATTATTGATTATAATCTTGAGGTTTCAAAGTGGGAAACCAACAAGGTTGGGGTGATTACTCCACATAAAATAACTTTCTATTCTCCTTTAAAAACTCAAGCAGATCAAAATGACGTTGCCTATAATCCAACAGTCAAACTGAACTTTTAGCTTCTAGACTAAGGATGAAATCTGCAAGAGGGCACCAGAATATGTTGAAAACATGAATTTTCTTTTGAGAAGCATTAAAGATAAAAAGTTGCCTTGGCCTAGCTGTGAAATTGGAAATGATTTCTGTTTCTTAGAGTTTCAACTGGGTATGTTGCTGCTTTATTTCTGACTCAGATAAGAGACAGGGGAAAAAAAAATATTAAAAAGCACCATGCTGGCCTTGAAAAAAAGGATTATAGAAAGAAAAGTGGGGTAAACCAACCATTGATTAGGCCTGAAAAGCTTTCTTACCACCAAAGAGCATTAAATTTGGTTCAATGAAAAAATTTTGTCCGACGGTGGCTTGAAATGGTACAGAAGCTGGAAAAGTGCAAGGCAGAAAATTACCAAGAAATTGTCAAAGGAAGGCAGCTAAGTGGTGCAGTGGTAGAGCACCAGCCCTGGAGTCAGGAAGACTTGAGTTCAAATTCAGCCTCAGACACTTGACACTAGCTGTGTGACCCTGAGCAAGTCACTTAACCCCATTTCTTTTTTTTTGGCTAGGCAATGGGGTACTCTATCCACTGTGCCACCTAGCTACCCCTTAATCCCATTTCCTAACAAAAAAGAAAAAAAATCAGAGGTTCTAAAAGCCTACAAAATAATGGGATTTAACAGATATTTGGGATTCATTTCTTTTTATCACATTGAGACTTCTTCCTGGAAGACCTAAGCATGAGGAATGCTTCTATTACGGTTCTGCCAGTAGGGGAAGGGAAGTCCACGCTTGCTTGCTAGCCCCTGTAGGATGCTAGGGAGGGATGGTCCATCAGAAAGTACAGCTGAAAATCATTGACAGCCAAACTTTAGGTGAATTAAGCACAATTTTAATTAGCAACGGTTTTTAAAAGTATAAAACTTGGTTCCTGGGAAAACAGTGAATAATAGACAAATCTGAAACCATATTTGAAATCAGCACCAAAAATACTGTAAGCATTATTTTTATGAATGTGACCAAAAATATTTTTGTTTTGTTTAACCTGCATTAGTTTTTTAAAAATAAGTATTTCTTTTTGTCTTTTATTTTGATAGGGATTAGACCTATGATTTCATTGGAATAGGAACTTCCAGATGAGAAAGTTCCTTCTGCCGATGAAGATGCACACCTTCTTTGTAATTTAGGAAATTACCTAGAGCACTGGGAGGATCCAGTGACTTGCCCTGGGTCCCCACATAGAGCCCCCCAGGCTGTCCGCTGTACCACAGCTGCCTCTCAGTTGCCTTTGTTTTAACATTCCCTGCATTTCCCACTTCCCAACCTTTCCAGAGAGCTAGCATACTGAAAAGTTTCTGATGTTATGTGTGATGTCCCATGATGGGGAGGTGCCTTTTCTTATGCCTCCTGGGGGCATCTGTGGCTCTCATTTACCTGTGGCTGTGCTATGCCCCTGCAGCGGTAACTTTCGCATTACTTGATGGAGTTGGTATATAAGACTCAATGGAAAATTCTACACAGCCGTAAAAAGAAAAGCAAAATGAGCTTTACAGTCACGCTGTCTCATTCAGTAGATATATGAAATGATTTTTTTCATTGCCTGTAGCAAGTGCAGAAGCCAGCTAAGTTTTTAATTTTATTTTTGCAAAAAAAGGAAGTGTTGTGGATATAAAAGATTTCCATGAGGAAAGTATTCACACTTTCACAAACTCTGGGCTTTTAGGGAAAAGAGAAACTTCTGTGGGGCTGAAGACCAAAGGGTAAAAGAGCCTTAAAGGCTGGGCATTTCTTAGTGAAGCCATATGTCGAGAGAAAGGGCTAGTAGGAAATAGAGTTGTCTGAGCAGGAGGCTGCAAGAAGACCTGACATACACATGGGAAGGCCATGATAAGTAGAGACCTGGCCTCAGAGGCTGCGTGGGGCTCTGAGACAACAGCTAGATCTGGAGTCAGAAGAGGCATGTCGTGTTGGACGGGTCGTTTGGCCAGTCTGAGCCAAGAGGATGTGGAGTGCTTCGCTCACAAGGTGAGGACAAATGAGATAACTGGGCTGGGTGTTGTGAAAGCCTCAAAGGGCTTTGTGAATGTCTGTTAACATCCTTCCTAGGAGTACTAAGGAGTTAGGGATTTCAGCACATCCTAATTAGGTGCCAGTTCTGTGTAAAGCACTGGACTAGGTGTTCACTCTAGCATGAAAGTCACCCAGAATTGTCAGATGATAAAGGTCTCTAGATATTCAGAACATTCATAGATATTTATGTTCACCCTGGTGGGGGCACAGACACTGATGAGGGTGGCATGACGTTTTTATGCAAGTGGCAGTCACGCTGTCACGAGCCTGTCATTCACGCCTTTTGGGAGGCATACAAGCCTGTCGACTACATTAGTTTTGATTGCAAAACTACCTCCAGCTTCACGGGACCTTCACTGCTGCCACTCCAGAAAAACATGGACCTCGCTCCAACCTGAGTGAGCTGGCCTTGTTTCACTGCTGTTTGGATGTGACACCTGCTGAATTCTCCTACAATAAGAGCTGTTCATCTTTCAGGCCTACTAGATTTTGCGTTGTCTGTAACTGTGCATATGCTAATGATGAGGGGAATCA